TACGACCTTTCCTGGTAAGCTTGCCTAGTTTCACGTTGCTGTCGAACGCTCACATCTCAATCAGTTTCTTGTATGAGGAAAAAGAAGTCATAATGCCTGGATGTCCAATACTAAATCGCTTTTGCCAAGAAAATATTGAAGTAGAACGTTCTTACCTTCTAAAAGCATTCAACGCCGTAAGATTGGCGTACATATAGAACAGATAATAATTATATGGAGGATTTTCTGCATCCTTATAGTTCTCAGGGCTTGGTGTTGATCGGTCAAACTGAATGATGCGAGAAATTATTGCAAAAAGATAGGAGTGAAGAAATATAATTCTCCCATGGGTGTGGTTTTAGAGACTCACATGAACAAATTCGTGCTTGCTTTCGTCATCGACTGAATCTATACCGGAGACTTGTTGAAGGAATCGATAGAGATCTGGATGTGACGACGGGTCATTTGTGGCCTGCAAAATCGAGTGGGTATTTCGTTATTCTCCATCAAACCATATCCACGGGTGGACAACTGAGAGCGACCTTTTCGACTGAGACTGAATCAACCCTGGGCAAGGTCTTCGTCGCTCACGCAACGCCATCAAGCCACGAAGAGAATGTGCTAGATGCATTCGATTATGGATGGAGCTGCAGGGGCCGTGTGCAATAAGCCCCGAAGGTCGTCGGACCGAAGGTCGTATGCAATAAGCCGCCGAAGGTGGCCGGGGACATGCCCTCGACGTCGTATGCAACAAGACCTGAAGAGGACACGTCCCTGACGACCTTCGGAGCTTGTTGCATACGACCTCAAAAGTCCATCACGGAAAGCACCTACCCTTCTGGTCGTCATCGGCAATCTCAAAGCTAGTTTTACCGGTGGTACCGCTGCGAACTTCATGAGAGTGCTTTGTGAATGGAAAGGTGGTTCGGGGAAACGTTCTACATGGACCCATAGGAATACGCACCATGCAGCCAAGGCTATTTTGATGGCATTTATTTTTCTCGCGTTGAATACGTCGTATATTTTTACATCATACTGTTATTAGTTAAAGGCAGCGATTACGATAAAGAGGAAGCGCATCGGGGAAGCATATGCACCACACGAAGCAGTTACTTGGCTGCCAAGGAAGCGAGATGTGGCGCTTTCACGACGAAAGGTGCGCTGGTTGCTGAGCAGGACTTCGAAAGCACTCCGCCCCCAAAAGCGATCCGCCCACTAGTTTAGTTGGTGATTTGGACGAGCTGCGTTGCCAGCAGCGGCACAACTGGAGCAACTCGATTGGACCGTGGTTTGGCATGCTGCCACCAAACGCATTGCGATG